ATAGAATATATTGCTCAGTAGCAGTCATATTCATTGAAACCTTCAAGAAAATAAAATGAAGGTTAAACTACTTTAGGAGAAAGTTTATTGCATTGAGTAAAACCTAGTACAAAACAAGAACTATAGTAAAACAAAGTGCAAATGAATATTTAAATTTCAGCAAGCACAACCACACATCAAGAACATGAGCAACAAAATACAGCGTTCAAACTAACACCAACTGAAGATAATACTATGAAGCTATGTTGAACTAGAATTGCTGAATAAGACAAACAGATTTAATACAGTTTTCATAATAAAGTTCATGGATATACACAAGCCAAAAAATAAAAAAACAAAAAGATCAAAAAGCCCAAAAAAACCCCTCTCAAAAAAATCAAACCCCACAGTAATAGAATCGTAGACTCACAGAATCACAGAATGATTAGGTTTGGAAAAGACTCTAAGCTCATCTAGTTCCAACCCCCCTGCCATGGGGCAGGGACACTTTCCACCAGACCAGGCTGCTCCAAAGCCCCATCCAACCTGGCCTTGAACACAGCCAGGGATGGGGCAGCCACAGCTTCTCTGGGCAACCTGTGCCAGTGCCTCACCATGGTGATAATAGGCAATAGGTGATAGTATGTGTGTTCTGAGGCATCAGCCTGGACTAAGTGAAAGAAAGAACACACAGGAAAATAAAGCAGTTTAGCTAAGGAAAACCTAAAGTCTGGAGGAGAAGATAAGAGTAATAAAGAATTTATTTTATACTTACAGCTGAATTAATAGAAAACATAAAAGTGCAAAATAACTTAAAAAGAGGAGGAAGTTTGCAGTAAACACAAAAGCAACCCACAGAGTCACTACAAAATTAAAATAAAAAAAGCAGCCACAATCATGAGGGGAACCTCAACTGCATAGAGTTATGCCCTCAATGTCTTTAAGCCAACAATAAAAGTTAATTAACTTTGGCTGAAGTAACACATGCAATACTGTAACTGTCACAGCATGCCAGTGTCTCAGTAAGTGTCTAGTCATTTCTTTCAGAGTACCAAATCCTGACTTTGAATTCAAAGACAGAAGGGTAAGGAACATTTCCATTATAAAACTTTTTATTATTACACAAGTAGCAATTATCCATCTATTCACTACTCCGGCTTTCCCTTGGGAGTCAAATAGTTGAGTCATTCCCTTAATCACAACTTTAGAGCAAATTAACGTGGGACTCCAAACTCTCTAAAACACCATAACTACAAGACACTACTCACCTAAAGTCTTGTATTGTGTGCTTGATTGTCCTCATTTGAAAAGAATAGCAAAAAATTATGCATAAATCAGCAATTTTAAGGAAGGAAGAAAAAAAAAAAAACCCAGCAAAAAACCCCACACCAACCAAAAACACCCAAAACCAAAAAAACCCACCAAAAAAACCAAACGGCTATACTGGGCAGAAGTGTTGACACTTTTTTCCGTCAAAGGCAGTTCTTAAAGAAATTATTAGAAGTTCTCAGCCTGTTCCCCAGCCAGAATAAAACTAAAGTTACAACCAAGCCTGATGAAGATTGAAACTTTGATGAAAAACAAATGCATAAGAATCCATATTAAGAAAGAAAAAAAGTGACTTATTCAAAACTTCCCTCTAAGAGAAATTAAAAATGTTTCATGTTAAACACTGATTGTAGATTGTTCTATGAAGTCAGCTCTACTAGGTGCATAGAATGTGTGACACTAGGAAGATTGTACCTAATGATGTGGTTTTATCTGTGGGCTTTTTTTTAATGGTATGCATGGGAAACTAGGGAAAGCACACACGTGCACTGTTCAGTGGGAAACTGGTTGTTCCTTCAGAAAAGAAACTCCACCAGCTTTTGAGAACTGTCACTATTTGAAGTGCTGTTTTATGAGTTATCACATTGAAGCAATTCCTTAAGACCAATTTATCAAATCAGTTGGGCCACATCCAGCAAAACCTGACTTATAGTGCTATTGGTCTATATCTTTTCTAATCAGACTGGCAGTCCCATCTAACTGACTAGGTATGTCTGAAAGAAAGAACTAACAGTTAATAATATTTACCAATAATGTTGCATCTTGTCAATCAATAGAAGTCAATCAACGTCTTAAAATCACAGAATGGTTTGGTTGGAAGAGACCTTAAATATCATCTAGTTCTACACCCCCCCACCCCTCCCCAGCATAGATCACTTCAAATTTGTTTGTACTTGAATAGTACCAGATTTCAAAAAGCACAGTAAAAGTTACATGGAATAAAATAAATTACTGTGCAACATTTAAGACAATTATGAATTAACTTGCAGGGGTGCTTTAAAAAAATAAATCTTCATTTACAAAATAACACATAGTGCTGAAAGGGAGGTAATTAAAGGATTAATGTGACTGAACTAAAGAAACATAAATGTGTGTAAGAGTGTGTTCAGAAATTTTATTATTCATAACAATACATGCAGCAGAAGAGTTAGACCACAGAATACTATACTGATACCAGGAAAGTTTACTGGTTATTAAGTAGATACATTTTTGCTTGCCAGCTAAAGTACCTTTTAGACAAAACTGATCAGAATAGCTAATTTTATAGTTGTACAATAGTGAGAGTTCTGTTGGCATTACAGACACACTAACGTGGTATTAAGACCACTGCCAATAAATGCTCAAATACTATACAAGTCTTTCTGAAACAATTTAAACTTGACACTATTCTTTAAAATACAAAATAACACTTATGATAATTTAAAAATAAACACCTTTTTCCCCATAAAGCAATTTTCTTTCCAGAACACACAGTAAGTATTAGAGGGCTCCTGATTAATTGCCAAATGTTGACACACTAGATTTGAAACATATTACTGTTATTAGTATGTTCGACTGTAGTAAATTAATACATTCATTCCAGAATAGACTCAATAATTTCATTTTTTGACAGAAAAATTTATGTTGGATATTTACACGAAACTTAAGCATAAAACCCCAAAATGTTTACGTAAACAGGGTCCAATTCTGGCAAGCACAGAAAGTCTTGCCACCAGTGGCACAAGAAATAGAAACAGAAAATGGAGTTTGACAAAGTCTTTTTAAAATATTACCTTAGAATCATAGAATAGTTAGGGTTGGAAAGGACCTTAACATCATCTAGTTCCACCCCCCCTGCCATGAGCAGGGACACCACACACTAAACTATGTCGCCCAAGGCTCTGTCCAACCTGGCCTTGAACACCTCCAGGATTGGAGCATTCACAACTTCCTTGGGCAACCTATTCCAGTGCCTCACCACCCTCACTGTGAAGAACTTCTTCCTTATTTCTGATCTAAACTTCCCCTGTTTAAGTTTAAACCCATTACCCCTTGTCCTACCACTAGAGTCCCTAATGAAGAGTCCCTCCCTAGTATTCTTGTAGTCCCCCTTCAGATATTGGAAGGCTGCTGTAAGGTCTCCACGCAGCCTTCTCCAGGCTGAACAGCTCCAACTTTCTCAGCCTGTATTCATACAGGAGGTTCTCCAGCCCTCTTAACATTCTCGTGGCCCTCCTCTGGACTTGCTCCAACAGTTCCATGTCCTTCTTACATTGAGGACACCAGAACTGTACACAATACTCCACGTGAGGTTTCACAAGAGCAGAGTAGAGGGGCTTTGACCTGCTGGTCACACTTCTTTTGATGCAGCCCAGGATACAGTTGGTTTCTGGGCTGCAAGCGCACACTGAAGCCGGCTCACGTTAAGCTTATCAATCACCACCCCCAAGTCCTTCTCCACAGGGCTGCTCTGAATCTCTTCTCTGCCCAGCCTGTAGCTGTGCCTGGGGTTGTGCTGACCCAGGTGTAGGACCTCACACTTGGCTTCGTTAAACTTACTAGCTTTCACCTCTTTTCTTGCGTTGCTTATCACAGTGTCATCTAAATGTCTGCCAGATTCATATTAAAAGACTATGGTAGAGGTAAAAAATGCAAGTTATGTGTTGCTTTGTTATCTTTATCATACTCACTCCTCCTAACCATTCCCTCCTCCCTTATGCCGTTCCATTTGTCCTCTATCAACTGCTCTCCAAACATTACAACTTCTAGATCAAATGAGCCAGGAATTCTCACCAACAGCTTTTATTCATTACATAAGGAAATTTCATTCTTAGGTCACCATCCATCTCATATATCGAATGATATGGGCCCATGAAGAAACATATTCTTAGGAAATGTATGTATTACAACATATTACTTAAATTTCGAACATGTGAGACTCCAGAGCGAACCAGGTACACCTGATAACTAATTCCATCAGATTCTTTACCGGCATTTAAGATTAAGATTTATTTTGAGAACAAGGAAGAAGTTTGGAGAACCTAATAGGATTTGAAGAAATTTGTGGGTTTGTTCCTTTTTCTTTTTTTTTTTTTTTAAAGAACTTAATATGGTGATGCTTCTTAACTTTACATTGATACCACAACTGAGTAAATAATGTAGGAACTCTCACTTATAAAATTACATATTTAAACCAAAATTGCCACGTGGAGAACTGATTTGAACATAAACATTATCACAGCCTCCTTCCAGTTCTCACCACCAAAAGGTTAAATTCTGTTGGTCACACTAGATTTAACTACTAACCTCTTTTGGAAGCTTTGTAATATAAAGTAGACTGAAAACAAACCTAAAAACTTACCATTGTGAAATCCACCTTTGTGAAACTACTATTTCCTGAAAAACAAATACTATAACAAAAAAAGTGAAAAAGTAGTAATTTCTTTTACTTTAGACATTGTGTTCTCTGCAAGCAACAGAAATGCTGAAAGTATTAGTTTCGCATCTCATAAAACACAAAGTATATTTTGGCTGGATTTTATCTTGTACTCTTCTCCCTGTCTGGAACCTCTTCACATATAGGAAAAAAATAGCTGCTATTGTTTCTATAATATTATATTAAAACTGTATTTCACAAAGTAAAAAAAAAAAAAAAAAAAAAAACAAACCAAACCAAACCATACTAAAAAATATGACAACAAAAGACAACTCACCACAACTCCAAACTGCTCTGGCTCAGACAAATTATTATACTCGTTCTTGAACTTGGACAACGCATTCAACTGTTCTTGTTCAGGAAGATGTTTTATTAAATTCTATAAAGAAAAATAAAATAGGCTTAAAAATCTCAGATTCTACATTACTTGTAATATTATAGGCAAATGGCATTATGTATGCATCATTAACAAACACTACAAAGACAACACTCCACCTGAAGACAGTAAAATGTAAATAGACAACACACAAATTAATGTAACTAGGGCTGTACAAAGCAAATGATTCAATACTGCTAGCTAGCATCTTTTGTTGAGTCTACAAACATTTCTGTAGTCTTTTTTTAAATACCATTTAGAAATACCATAAATACTAAGAAAGAATATGCTTGATAGGCACTTTGCAAACAGAACACTAAGAAGCAAATAGAACAAGAATTTCAAGTATAACATGTTTAAAGGATGGCAAGAAGTATTTTGAAAAAGGATAGTTTATTTTCCAGTATTTCAAAACAAAAGCTTACAACCATTACGCACTATTTCGCATGCAAACTTGCCAGAAGTCAGAATTCAGAGGTGAGATTCAGCTTCAGTGGAATTCAGGAGCCCATACAAGGAGCTTGGACATTTTCATAAATGAATGTCTTTTGAACACAGGTAAAAGAATCTAAACTTGTCAGCTTCACCTGATATGTCAAGAATCCTCAGTTCCTGGAGCTTTCTGAACACTTTTAATTATGGTATATAATTTGAGTCAGTAGCTCAGTTCTGTCCCTTCCCAAGACAACTACTATAACTACCAGGCAATAGTCAGGGCCCCTTTAGCCTTCTCTCTTTCTCAGCTTACGCCTCTTGTGTTCCTGGTTACACAGTGGCTAAGCTTCCGTCATAGTAAGAAAATAAGAAAGAAATTGTGTTCTTTCTTAAAATACTCCCTGGTCTATTGGTAAGATCACTCTGAATAAAGATTCAAGCTTCCTAACACTGAATCAGGTCTAGCAGACACAGTATCCCACTGCCTACTACCATATTGCAAGAAAGGATCAGAAAGACTAACTCTAGCAGTTCCCTCTTTCAGTTATATCAAAATCTTTTTTACTTCTCTGCAAGTCAATAGCTTTGGTGACATACTATCAACCAAAAAGAATTTACTTAAGTTAGTGAACAGGATCTCTATCTGAGACTCTTAACCCCCTCCGTAATTTTACACACAAAAGATTCCTATTTCTTCTTCTACAGGAAATTCAGCCAGTTACAATATACAAATTGTCTTTTTTGGGCCAGAGACATGAAAAGTCATAGCTCTGCTTTGCATAGCATAATTCCCTAATATAGGAAGAAAGAATTCAACTCATTAATGAGTATCCAAAAATATCCTTAAACCAGTAATCAATGCAAGGACCCTTTGAGATCTTCACAACCTGTATTAATTAGTTCAAAGGTACATCCTGGTATGATCCTTGGATCACAGTATAGATATTCCTCTTGTTAAAGAGTGAAAATACTAGATTGCACCTGAAGTAAATTTTTTTAAAAGCAACATAAATATTTTAATACTTTTTTATTTTCTGGGGTGGTTTTTTTTTTAATAACTCAATCTCTTAGCTTTTCTAACAATTGTCATTTGATGGTAGTTTATCATTTATCAACCCTTTCTTTCCTAATGGATAAAAAGGCATAGATAGTCCTTTATCACTGTTTTGTTTTAGTGTAAAAACATTTACTATTTTAAGAACCGAAACTCTACTTTGATCCTAAGGACTACGATAACTAATTGATTTTACAATATTTTGTCAAATCCAAAGTAAGGATCAAGTAGTTTATCAAGAAAATAAAATCAGCAAATAAGAAAAGCTAGACTTAGGAGGAAAGGTCCAAATAGACCAAAAGAAGAGTAAATAATAGTTAAAGATCAGGCTGCTTCAACAGAATGTCCATACTCAAATAAGGATTTTGGCAGGAAAAAAGAGAACTATTAAAAATGCATGAATGATGATGCTTAATAATATAAACCTCAGTTTTATGTAGCTTGATTTGGACATAGTCAGACTGACTTTCAACATGAAGAATTTACGACAATAATCATATATATCCTTACCATAATTACATTTAGAAAATATTTTTGTAAAGAACACTGCATTTATTAATGATGGATGAAGATGTCCAGCACTTAATCAGTAATACTGAGCAAAAATTGAAAAGGGTACAGAGTGCAAAAAGATTTATTTAAAATTAGAAATTCATAATCATCTTATTTCGTCTTGATATATATCTATGTAACAAGCTCTTAATATACTACAATTTCTTAATCTTTACTGAGATTAAAGTGTACTTGTTTGATGCCAAAATAATTTTCACATGTAGAAAAACTGACCACAAAACTTTTTCAAAAGACAAGTACTCGAGTGTTCTATGAATATTTTCAATACTGAAAACGTTGAGGAAAAAAAAAAAAAAAAAAAAAAGGAGCAGCTTATACCAAAGGAGCTTTATGGTGTTCAGATAAAGCTTTAGAACTGATAGAGATGAAACACATTTTGAGTATCAAACAGAGAATAAACAGAAGAAAGAATTTTGGCTAAGTCATAAGAAACATTCCAATGATTAGTCAATGACTGTCTGGATTACAATATGACTTTTGGAGTTTTTATGTCTTTCAGAACTAGATTCAATTTCTAACTGGAGAAAGGGAGAGAAGGAGAGATTACTTTTACTACTTAAGCATAACAAGAGCAGGATTAAGGACAAATTTCCAACTTTGGAAACTGCGACAATAGGACACACTGAACAATATTTAAAGATAGAAAAAAAAAAATGATGAAGGCAAGAAGCTTCTAGAGAGGAAAAGTACCAATAATACCTAAGGTATTTTACATAAATAAATAAATAAAAAGAGCCATATACATGCACACAAATTATGCTTTTTTTCTTCTCAGAATCATGAAATACGCAGGACTACATTTTCATAGGTTACTTCATGATCTTGTTGAGGACCTAATTTCATTAACAGGCTAAATCTTCACCATTGAAAACCAGTGTTAAGAGTCTCAGAGCAAGCACGAACTATCCGAGAGAGAGCTCAAGCTGCATGTAACAGCACAGCATATTCCATCTCTCCATAAAATAGCTTTTCATGCTACGTTAGAGAATTTTTACTATTATTCCAAATAAAGTACAAGAAAGATACACATCATACTTTTGAGCATGAAGAGAACACTGAAAAAGAAAAGTGATGTAAGTGAAAACTGGAACAAACATTTTAGAGGTGTAAACTGCTCTGTTCATCCTAATAACCTTACAGTAATAGTTTCAATGCCACTATTAACTGCATCATTGAACAAAATAAAGAAAATTACACAATTATCTATACTGTCACTGGAGATGACAGCTCATGTTTGTTCCTTCAAATATTTCTTGAGAGAAACATCTCATTCTTCAATGAAAACTGGAAAATGAAGTCCAAATAGCTCAACAGAGTTTAAAGATCGTTGGAATCAAAGTGACAAGAACTGAGGGCCAAACTGCATGTGGGCAGAAAAGGAGCATCCTGAACATTGTACAGGCTCTTCAGTAGGACCTTATTTTGACATACCAATATGGTGGATATCTATTTTGCAAGCAAAGCACACAAATATAAATTTGCCTTGTTTTGACCTTTGTATACAGATTGCTGCATGTTCAGTACAAGTCACACACTTGAATCTCAGAGAGCCTTAATGTTACAAATAATTTTATGACTCCTGATTACCAGTATTTATTTCTTCACTAATCAATATCCCTGCAAAAGGTGTACGTTTCTAAAAAAAAAAAAAAAAAAAAAAAAAATTAAAAAAAAAAATCAAAGTTTATTTTTCTTGGATGTTTCAGTAGAGACTGGTACCAATGTCCCTAACACACATTCAGGTATGCTGTAGAGATCACCTATCTAAATCCTCTCTAATTGAAACTTATGACACATTACTCGTAGATTAATAAAAATTATGATTTGACATTCATGAGTTATAATGGCAATAATTTGACATTCACAGTATGTCCAAAAGACAATCTTAGCCTAAAAACGTATCACTGCAAATCTAATGGGTGCCATCAAGATGACTAGGGAACACAACACATAACAGGAAAGAAGAGGTTGAGAAGTGGTTTGTTGATTTTAACGAAATAAGCCTCAGGTGATCTTCAGGTACCCAACTGGAGGATACAGAGAACACGCAATTAGGATCCTCTTGAAGATATGCAACAGAAAGCCAAGGTCACAAGTTGCAACCATGAAGACTCTGGTTAGATAAACAACACAAGATTTTGCACAAAAAGGGTAGTTCAAGACTGGAAAAGGTGTCCAGAAAGGCTATGGCATGTCCAGCCTTGGAGATACTAAAAAAATTAATGGAAAAGACCCTGAGCAACCTGCTCCAGTTGACCTGGCTTTGAGCAGGGGCTTGGATCAAATGACCTCCAGACTGCCAAATTATTTCTTCCTACGGTTCTATAAAGAAGTATTAATATTTTATCAAATTCCTCAATTTATCAACACTTAAATAACACTGCACAGAAGAACAAGAGGAACTTCCAGTTTCTTTTGCCTCCACACATAATCATACTTATTTTGTGCTTTGAATAATATGGAAAGAAAAAACAGTATACAAATAAATTCCAGGAAAGAAAACTGGTTAGTTTGAATGCCCTAAAGCAAGTTTCTGGATTGTATCAGCACTAAAGGGACAAGGGAAAAAAACACCAAACAACAACAACAAAAAAAACCCAACACAAGCAACAGACAAAAAAACCAAAACACACACACACACACACACACACACACACACACACACACAAACCCACAACTTTTTGACCAGAAGGGATTTGTGCAAATGAGACGGGTAGAAACAAATTAAAGAAAAAATTTGTAACTCGGAAAGAAACAGAATATCAGACAGTGTTTGAATATAGCAAAGAAAAATCTCAATTTAGGTGTGGACAATACAAATGGAGAAATTAGAGCATATAAATTTAGCTACTTTCATTAAAGAACAGCATCACAAATATAAAAAAATCCTACAGTTCACAGATAAAAGAAGATTCTTGCAGTGATTTATTACCCAAAAGTTAATGGTAAGGGGTTTTATAGGTACAGGTTTCTATTTAATGAGAAGCTTACCCTGAAATATTGGGATTTAAAGTGTCACTTTCCTTACCTGAATCATGGACTCTGACAGCTGTGTTTCGTCAACTTCCAATATCATCATTTTGATTTCCTCATAAGGCACTCGGAAAGAGCCAAGGAAAATTGCTAAAACAAAGATTCAACACATAATGAAGAAAGCAAGACAAACATTTTTTTTCTACTTACAAATCACCAATTAAACAGCCTATAGAATACAGGTTAACAAACACCATACAAAGTAATACAGATAAAGGACAACAAATTTTTTTAACTACTGTTCTATAATTCTAGCCTTCTCCATTCATTTGTTACGCAGAACATCCAGTATCACAGAAGACCTCCATAAGTACCCAGTGAAAAGTCTACTCTGCAGGACAATCACTGCTGTTGTAGTATTTTGTGCTAAGGTAAAGATCACACCTTTTTCCTTCAGTGGTTTCATCAGAGCTTTCTCTTAAAAAAATCTCCAAGAGAAACTGAAATCACATCAGCGGTTAAAAACCAAAATGCTCTTATAGGCACTGTTTATTCATTCACCATAATCCAATCATTTCCTATTTTATCTTTGCCATGATTTAGGAACATACTCTTCATAGCATTCGTCGCTGACAAAACTTTATCATCTTTATTTCCATGTTATTGCATAATACTGAGTATTGCCTTCTTTCTACAAAGTACACGAGGGATGGCCAGTACATGAGATCTTGTACCAGACAACTTGGAGGGGTGAAGTAGTAGGGGGTTAAGCAATATTCCTTGGCGACTATGTTGAAAATATAGATAGATAATTAGATACATAGCTGTATACTTGTGTTTCAATATATACAGAAGATAATAATGTCAGTCTAGAACAAGTGATGACCTTTAATAGTTTTCTGGGTCCTTTAAGATGTGTTTCAGTTGTATCAACTCACATACTTCGGCTTAACACCAATATGCACATATTGTCACATGCTTTAAACAAAAAGTGGTTACCAGGTAGTCAGACAAGACAGACATTTTTATGGAACATATATGCAACAGTACTGTGTCATAAACCCAGAATCTACTTACAGAGATTCTGTGCAATCTTTGGGTCCAAGACTTTTAATTCTTTGATGCGTTTCTTAATGGATTTCTTTTCTTCAAATTCCTCCTCCTCTTTTTTTACTGCCAAAGTAAACACAAATATACTCACTCTTAACTCTTAATGTTTAGAGAAAAGATTAATGAATTCAGAAAACATATTTGCTATCAAGCACAGTCAGTTCACAAAGAAAGTAACATATCATAGAACAGAAAAAATAGAGGGTTTGCATTTAATTGCTTGTATTCTCAAAATAGGTGTTCAGTGAAATTTGTCAGCATGTTGGCCTTCTAGAACAAGATTTATTTATTTTTTTAATATATAGAAACCAAAGATGGTAAAGTCAGTTGTATGAACAGTCTGAAAGTCATATTTAAAATACCATTCAATTTACTTCAGTCAGCCTGGGCAGGTTAGCATTCTAATTGGATTTTGATAATTGGCAATAACGAATCTTAAAGAAGATATGTCAATATGTCTCAATACTAAGCAATAAAGAACCAACCCAAAATTCAGGTATTTTTGTGACCACTTTTGTCCAAATATGAACACCAAAAATGTTGAAGATCACTGGCTTATGAAAAATTAACATTACTTTAGAATATAAATAAGGTTATACCTATTTTCCTTATTTCCTCCAAAAACATGTATTTTTAAATATATGACATAATAACCTTATTATAAAATACCACAAAGTGATCGTGTAAATGTACATTAACATGGCTGGAAATTTTGGTTTATATTTTATTTTCAAAAAATAATTCATACAAATAGGTTCTCCCAAATGCATTATGGAAGCTCAATTTATTTCTCATTATTCACACACTGTCATAAGAATTTCACTTACAATAACAGCAGAGTCTTGATAATGTATTAGTAAGAAATATTCCAATTACTATACAAACAAACAAGAAGTCCAAAACCACACAAATCTTTCATGTAATCCAATCTGGTTGTCCTTTTTTATTTCTCCTCCCCCCAGCACAAGTCTTCACTGTCAAATGTTATTCAGCCAATATATTACTACTTCACAAAATCCATTTCCAAGTTTATACAGTATGATTGTTGTAAATTAAGTTATACATGCTTCAAATAGTTGAGAGTAGAAAATATGTTGTAATAAAAGTATATGCTACTGACTTCAGAAAGAGATATAGATAGATAAGAAACCTTGTCAAGAAAACATAGCATTAAAATTTCTAGCTTACTGGTGATTCTTGACAAAACTAGATGTAATATGAATTATCAAGAGGATTTCTCTAACTTGAAATTACTTCTGTAAATTTTAAGAGAGGTCTTAGAGAGCTATGTCATTCTTTAAAAATGTTTTTCTAAGAACAGTGACCTATCAAGGTCTCTGAACTTTGTTGTCTAGGAAACTACCAAAGAAATAAGAACTTAAAGATCTCATATAGAGATTAAAGAAACTAGATTCTAGTTACTCCCAAGCTGGTGGAGACATAAATTTGAATATTCTCCTAAATGACTTTTAATTGCTAGGCACCATGATGCTCCCCTCTGAGGACATGTCACAGTGCAGAGAAGAACCTCGTATTCTGAAAATGAAATTACTGAGCTAAGACATAAAGCAGTCCTTAGAAGAAGGACTGATATCCAAGGTCCTGGCAAATAGGTTACTAAGTCACAATCTTCCTCTTCTGTCTTTCTCCCCATCTTACCCATAACAACCGGCTGGTCTAAATGTCTTCCACCACACATTAACAGAAAAGTTACCATTCTCCTGTCCCAGGAAAAATAAGTCTGTTTACTGTGCATGTGAAAGGAAAAGCAGCACATTTTAACCACCAGTCTGAGAACACATTAACCCATATTCAAAAGGACAGAATGACATTTGAGCTACTGGATAAAAAGGAGGTTACCACTAAAGCTTCACTTTTTTTTTTTTCCTGGTTATACTTCAAGAGGCCTTATTGAATCCAGAAGGGCATGTCAGGGGCTATGGATCTCAGGGTCACACAACTGTTTTCTCCTGCAGTTACACACCTTAACAGATCTCTCAAATTTCTTAAAGGCTACAGGCTGAAAACAGTCATTCTTGAAAGTGTCATTCTGAGTGGCCTGTCTTATTAATGCTAGAATTGCAGATTCCACTAGAAGATCTGGACAGGTTCCATGCCATCTTAACACCTTACTCATCTGAATCATAATAAAAATATATTAATGCTTTATGGCTACCTTGAAACCTTGGAAATCATCATTTTACAGTAACCAAAATCATTTTCTTCATAGTCACAACAAAAAAAGTTAAATTATATGAATTTATAAACTTGCACTGACTTGAACTGGATATGTTTCCCTTTCCAGCACTAGAAAGCAGTATTTATTCATTACAGCCTTATAACATAGATAATACACAAACATACAAAACTAACTTTCAAATCAAGAAACAATGTTGCAAATGAACCAGCTAATTCCCTCTGGAACTTTCACCCAGGAGGGGGTTATACACAACGTGACAGCAATACTTAGGCATCACAACCCTAAGGAAAAATGAACATAGAACTTACTCTAGGAACTCAGGCAGAAATTGTATACAGAGCTATACAATTATGCAAACTTAATTACTTCAAACTTACATGATACTTCAGGAGAATTCAGGTCACATCCTTATGTAGTTGGCAGCAATAAGAAGCAGAGGATACATATTACTTGTCTTCCCTATTGGAAATGGTGCACTGGCCAATGAAAACTCTGAAATTCTGATACCTCCTACTGCCTCTATAAATTTTTTACCTGATTTGCTTGTTAACTTATTGGAAGGAGTGGGGGGTAGGGGGGAAAGACACAACTATTATCTATTTCCAACAAGAAAAAGTTAAAAAACCCACAGCGGGGAGGGAAGGGGAGGGAAAGAAAAAGATTCAATACATCTGAATAAATGAAGTAAGTAGCTAAACTAACAGAAAATTGAAGAAAATAAGCACTTGCATTTTATTTGGAGAGGGCACAGAGGCAGGGAGGAAAGTATACAGAAAATAGAAATGGGTAACACCCGCTTACAATGGAAAAAGAGAACACAGCCCAGTGAGAACGGGCAGCTGTTGCAGAAAGGAGATGACTGTCAAGGGAAATAGATATAAAACGTTGTCATGCTAACAAGAATCAAACCAGGTGATATCAAAACAACTGTCGTAGCTCCAGAAGTTGGACCATCACATTAAACCATTGATTGTTTCAAAATCTCAGGTCTTCACGTATTATACAACTGAAAAGGAACTTTACATATCAAGAACTGCACACAGGGTGGGGGGCATACACATGTCCCCAGCATCTGAACTAGATAATTTTTAGACAGTACTATCTAATCTGATGCTCCAACTGCTCTGCTGTCTCAGGCTGGGAAACAAAATACTAGGTCACTTTGAAACACACAGAATTCATCTCCCACCCTTCTTAGTTCCCTTTATCTCTACAATCCCACATCCTTGTTAACATGACTCCAAAATTAACAGATGCAGATGCCAGTGTACAGACAGAAAAATACTGCAAAGGAGTTTTAGGTATTGGAAAAATCGCTTTAACTGACTCCTTCAAACATGTGCCCACATATACATTCAACTAGTCAACTACCTCCATCTGTGGCAATGATCTGACTGAAACTAGAGTCATGAAGGGAGCGGAGATAGGATTCTTTTACAAATATAACATCACAGCTGGAAGCCTACAGAATAGCATTTCTTAAAAATGTGGACTGAATCCTACGTAGTTTACTCAACAGATCTCTGAAACAATCACATTCTTGGTAGGTGCCAATATAACATAATCTACATTCATGAATCTACAGTCTAACATAATCTACATTCATGAATTGCTATCCACATTTCCATTTCTGCAACAGGTCTTGATATAATCTGCCATCCACTATCTTTGTGCAAGAAAAATCATGCCTCTGCATCTGTATGTTGAAGAAAAAAAAAATCTAATATACATTACTGAATGAAAACAAATACTCTTGAAATACAAGTTTCAAAAGGAACATGCAGATCTGACCATTTGTTTTAAAAAGTCTGAATTCCTAGTTCAGTTAAAACTTGAAAACTACATTACACAGAAATCTACAGAACACTCAATGTAGTAATTTTGTCACTAAGTAAAGAGCATACAGAAAATTACACAAGACCTTGCACCTTTCTTATTCTCTTAGCTAAAACAACAGTCATCCTGAAGTCTGTCTTGACTGAAAAATGAAAGAACAAGCCTGGGGCCATGGGTTCAAAAGATGTACCCACACCAAGACTCATTATGAAAGTAGATGCATACCTCATCTGCTTAGAAATCTAACTCTTAGAAGTAAATGATAACTTATGCCCCATATAGTAGGACATTCAACTGAAAGACATTCTTTATCTCCAGGAAGTTATCTGGAATCAAAGGAATACATCTTTAATAGAAAATGAGGTTGTAGCTATACAATAAATGCAGCAAAAGTTCTTAGCTATTCAAAACAAAAATCTGGAACAACTTGCTGTAAATCATAGAACTACTGAAGTTGGAAGGGACCTCTGGAGGTCATCTGTTCCAACCCCCCTACTCAAACAGGGCCACCTACAGCCAGGTGCCCAGGACTGTATTTAGGCAGCTTTTGAGTATCCCTAAAAATTGAGGGAGAGTCCACAACCTCTGTGGGCAACCCATGCCAGTGTTCAGTCACACCCACAGTAAAAGTAGTGTTCTGTGATGTTCAGGAGGAACCTCCTGTGTTTCAGTTTGTGCCCACTACCACTGCGAAGCGCCTGATTCTGTCCTCCTTTTACCCTCTCTTCAGGTATTTGTATAAATTGATAGGATTCTCCTGAGCCTTCTTTTCTCCATGTTAAACAGCCCCAGCTCCCTCAGCCTTTGCTCATAGAAGAGATGCTCCAGTCCCCTTATCATCTTTCTGACCCTTTGTTGGGCTTTCCTTAATATGTCCATGCCTCCCTCTTACTAGGGAGGCTCAAGCTGTACTCAGTACTCCATATGTGGCCTCACCCGTATTGAAATCTGAAGCCTACCAAGGAATATATGTCTTTTAGCTAACAGAACACAGACTTTTGAAGACTTGGATTGTCTTAAAACCTCC